AAATGAGGTATAATTTTTGAAAGAAATTTTTTCTCAAAAATCGGCACGTATAACTTTGTTCAGTTTTTCACGACGCGTCGAATGACGTCTTATTTCAAATTTTTAGACTTTCCCTTCGAGACTTGATCGGTTTGGGAGCAAAAGTTCCTGGTTTGGATTTTCGGCTGTACCAAGAATCCAGTTTAAGGTTCGAAATACTCAAATCTAAAATCTGCTCCAATCCTGTCTTAGCGGCATCTTACATTACTAATCTGTTTTTAACAGAGTAATGACGAATTACAAATTCATGAAAAATATAATGCTTACTGGCTAGACTGAATTATGTAAAGGTTGTTGTTTCTTGAGAATATGAGACAATTAGCACAACTCATGAATAGATTATTTCAAATGGCCAGTTAAAATTAGTTAACTAGACATTGGTGAAAGTTCTGAATGCCGTTGCTGACTAGCTCGAAAAAGAAGACACAGTAGCTGACTAGGTAGTTTTTTCCTCAGGATCTGACGAATTTTTAACTGATATATGGGGCTAGAGAACAAAAAAATGAACTAGTCTTTAGCTAGTTGGTGAGTGACTAGTCCAGTTTTTTACATTTAAATAATCGGAATGGCTATTGCCACTCTCTGAGAGTGTCAACAAGAGTCGTCGTATTTTTACTTTTGGGTGTAAGTTCCAGTACGCTTTATGAATTTCTGAACGTTGAAGTTCTAAGATTGTTTTTCCTAGGGCACAACTGGTTATTGAAGTTGTGGAGGTCAGCATGAATCAGTGCTTGTATTGGTATTAGTTTCCATTGTTTATCAACGTCGTCAGGACTAAGAAAACGCTAACAATAAATAGAGTAGGACACTCTCAGAGAGTGGCAATAGCGCTATCCTTAAATAATACGTAGTCTCACAAGCGTCGTCCTTGACTGGTTGGAAAAACAAAAGTACTGTTCACAGACAAATTTCCATCTGTGTAGATTATTATTAAGCAAAAGTACACAAAAATTAGAGACATGATTTTGTACATACTGTTGGACGTATGCTTGCTTGTACTTCATCGTTTCGTCGTTTTTATCGACTGATAGCCAAAATGAACGGTCATTCACTTTATTTGAAACTGACTAGTCGATCAACATCATTGTTTTTGACAAAAGAGAAAAACAAGAAAAATCAAAAAAATGCGATTCATATATGACTATATAACATGTGTACTGCGGCAATAGTGTGACCAAAATTTAAAATTAACAATCTTGCAATACAATTACAAGTAAGTGCATTCCATTTTTTAAGGAGGACCCAGTGAGTATATTATACTGTAACGTTTTCGTTATGCTGATGAATCTGCAGATTTTAATTATAAAAATGGTATTTCAATAATCACAATCTTAGCACTTTTTATTGTCTGTAGTAAAACGAAAGCAACCTCCAAATCGTTTTTTGAAACTATTTCTTCCAAGAAGATGCATCATAATACCCAAGAATGTAATCTTTTCCATACCGAGAAGAAAAGGGAAGATTTGTGACACATTCCGTTTCTTATTTAGGTAACATGCATTTATTACTGCTACTATGTTATATCTCGTTTGTATGTGGGAAAATATATCAGTCAACAATTGATAAGGATTTAGCTGAAATAGACCGAGAAAATAAAGCACTGCTATCAATAAACTTTATAAAGTTACTGACAAATGTAACAGCATCAACGTGTAAAATTGCTGATCAATGTTGTCCAGAGAAACGAAGTTTACTGTCAAGTAATCCAGAACAATTTCTTGAACTTTGTTTAAGTGGTCCACTCGTATCAGCCGTTACCAACTGTTCAGCAGCTGGTGATCTTATCAATTTATTTGCCCAACAAACTCAGAGCGAGATGATAAAAATAATATTAGTTGGTGCAGAATTCCAGGCGAAAAGAAAACAAGAAGGATTTGAGGAGAGGGTAATTACTGAATATTGTACACCCGATGAACGAGCAACAGCAGTCTGCAGTTTTGGTGCAGGTGATTCGAAATCAAATTGTACGCGAAAAATTCTTCAAGGCTTGGCAGCGAAAGATGAAAACAGTTATAACGAGTATATACGAAAGAACAAACAAAGTATTGCTGAAATGAAACAGATATTGAGTAGCATAAAGAGCTCCAACGACGGTGGAAATGATTCAAAGTATAATGATGGAATAAAACTGCAAGTGACACGTGGTTCACTTGTTCTTTTACTTATTCTACTTGTGTGCTATCAAATGTATCAAAGTAAAATTTGATATTTTTTAAGAAATAAATTTTGTACATATGTGAGTTGAAGAAGAATGTCCTCAGATTGAATGGCTTTCTGCTGAGTTGGGCTGGAAGCAATTTTGGGTGGACAAGCTGTCTCAAGTAACAAGTCGGCTCGGCACTCATTATATTTAACAGAAAGAATTCTTGAAACTGAACCAGACGTTTTGGTGTTAGTTTTGTTTATAACTTCTATATTAAGAATTATTAGTTGACGATCATGAATCAGTGAGTTTGCTTCTCAATATTGGGAAGAATAATTTGTACGCCGTAGGCACAGAAAGAAATACAGTGGATTCGTCCGGATGAAAGGCTAGCTAGGGTCGCCAAAGCTTGGATATATTAAAACATCATCGTGTACATCATTTGGATCCTACAGGCAAAGGCTGTCGACTACACGGACATTCTTAGATGTTATGCAAGGATAATAAGGTCTTCCATAAACTAATGATTATATTATTGTTTAAGTTAGTTTAATTACGAATAAAGATATAAAATATAACCATAATCCGCTCTATCTATTAGCTGTATCAAAGTCTAGTCGTAGACTGTTAGGATGTATTAACGGATTTTACAAATATCGCCTTTTCCCATGTCTTGCTTTCTTTAAAAAGAACCGAGACTCGTGTTGACTTTGAAAACATTGTAGAGTGCTCGGAGGTAAAATGGAAAATACGTATAAAATATTTTCATTTAGTGATTGTGTCTATATCTCCAGTCAAAACTTTCAAGTCGGTTGGGTGGATGATTTTTTCGAGGGATTGTAATGTAGCTAGATCAAAAACCAATATTGTGAGAGATAACGATAGAACAGAAAGAAGCAGAAGAGCAACAAAGAACACTATAAAATTATTGGGATCAAACACTTGAATTTCGAATTCAAATGGAAAGAATTGACTTTTGGACTGAATTATTTAAAAGTAAAAACTCCACTGTGTTCAGATAAAGCATTGCTCATTATGCCACAAAATTCCGAGCAAAAAGACCTCGATTTTCCAGATCATACTTATCAATGGCAGTGTTCGTATAATGGACTGACTGATCCCCAACTGATAAATCGCTTTTTCAACGAAACCGACTGGACTATAGGTAGTCGACGATGCTGATTCCGAATACCACCATGAATGCTGCCGCTAGGCCTT